GGGGGGAGGGACTCGTCATCAGGGGGTGTAGGGATAGGATGGGGGGGAATGGTGTTAAACTGTCAGAGGGGAGATTTAGATGTGATCTAAGGCAGAAATTGTTCCCTGTGAGGGGGGTGAGGCCCTGGCACAGGCTGCCCAGAGAAGCTGTGGCTGCCCCCTCCCTGGAAGGGTTCAAGGCCAGGCTGGACGGGGCTTTGGGCAACCTGGGCTGGTGGAAGGTGGCCTTATCTGTGATTTTATAACTGCTGAAGCCACCTCCTCCCTGGGGCACGGTACAGAACAGGAGGGGGGTTTGCCCTCACCCCTGTGTTGTGCATCGCTGGGGAAGAGACAAGACAACACAGAGCCCGGGGCTGTGGATGCGTTGAGGACCAGCCCAGCAGGAGGGAGCAGAGGGATTACAGACACGACTCTGGACAGAATTACCTCTCGTTCTTCTCCCGCAGCTCCTCCATTTCCTTGGGCTCCAGCTCATCTGCTGCTTGCTTCTCGTTCAGCAGAGCCAAGCGGTCAATCCGCTGCTGCATCATGGTGATCTGAGCCTCTGCGGAGGGTGGCGAGAAAGGGCCCGTTACCATCTTTTTCTGCCACCTGAACCCCCCCAACAGCACGGCGGAGGATGTCTGTGCTCCTCCCAAGCCAGCGAGGGGCCACTGCACAGAAACCCTTTGCAGGAGACACAAGAGCCACGTTGCCAGCGCTGCTCCTCGGTGCAGGCGCTGCTTCATTAATGGCTTTTGTTGCCCGTGATAGTCAAGGGAATATGAGAGGGAAGAAGGAACCTGCAGCCTCTGCATGTATCTGGGGAAGTCCCCAGTGCGGAGAGTGTTTTAGATGTGGATGGTGACACTCCTCTGCCTGCCAGCCTGCTCCAAACTATTTGGCAAGGGGCACCCAAGCTGCCCTCTCTACTCTGGTAAGTGGAAAAGCCCCAGAGCAACAAGCTGTGCTCACTTGGGGCTTGGCAGGATGGACTGTGCACGAGCCCAGCCATAGCAGGGCCAAAATCAGAACCAAGTCACAGAAACCAGAGGAGGCCTCAGCCCCGGAGAGCCCTCCCCGCACCCCAGGACGTCCCGCAAGCGACTGACCCTTCTCTGTGATGAGTTTACGATTCTCTGCCAGCTCCACCTCCAGCTCATCCCGGTTTTCTCGCTCAGCAGCCAACTGCTTCTTCAGGCGTCGCAGCTGGAACTGGGGGGTCTGCATGACATCCCCCATGGGTGAGGACGGAGGGCCGGGGAGCGCGCTGCAGAGAGGCACACCATGTCACTCGGGTTATCTGGCCCCGCTCCAGTTCCCCCGGCTGAGAGGCGGGTTCAGAGCGAGAACCGGCGCCTCGGCAGCCGAGCAGAAAGGCCACTCGCCGCCTCTGCGCGTCTGGTGTGCAGGTACAGAACCAGCACCGGGGCAAAGCGCCCAGCTCATGAGAAGCGACTCAACCTGGCCTCCCAAAGCCACCCCAGGGCAGGAGAGAACCACAAGCTGCTCTGCAAAGTGTCTGTCCACGTTAGACTGAAATGAGCTGGGCTAAAAGTTGCTAATTGCAGCCCCAGCTCAGCCCACCACCGCACAGCCCCACGTCAAGCCCACGGAATTCGCAACAGGGCAGCACCACGGAAAAGGTGTGTGTGGGGGGGTCTCTGCAGAGTCATGTGCTGCCTGTCCACGCCCCTGGGTCCCAGAAGCCGCCCTGTCTGTGCCCCCCACCTCCCCTCACTCCCCCCACGGCAGCCAAGGGGCTGGGGACGTACTTGTTGGCACCAGAAGAGGAGGAGGCAATCTTCTGCAGCTCCAGGAAACGCACCTCTCGCTTGTGCGGGAGGGAGAGCAGCGGGGAGTGCTCCTCGGAGCTGCTGCCGGACGAGGACGGCGGCGCTGGGAATCATAAGTGAGAGGCAGGTTGTGATCCTCCCGCCACTGCCAGAGGAATCCCCGGTGTGAAGATCGGTGGGGAAGGGGGGGAAACAGCCCCGCCGAAAAAGCCATAAACGTGCCTCATGCCCTTGTCCCACATCCCACCCGCCTCGCTGCTTTGCGGGTGGCAGAGCGCCCGGTGGGTACAGGGCAGCCGGGCTCTTAAATCCGAGCTTACATGGGACGGTTCTGTAGTGCTGGGGTGAGGGGATCTGGGTGGCATTACTGTTCCTGTGGCTTGGCAGCTACAGCAGCATAAACGGGGGAAAAAACCTCCACGTTTTTATGCTTTAGAAAAGGGTCACCTGTGCTGGCTGGGTGCTGCCAGCAGCACTCAGGCCACGCCGCTGCTCTCTGCAATGTTAGGGATTTCTCTGTCCCGCTCTGAGCTGGCACTTGGACACCAGCTCAGCAAACACATTAAAACCTGTCGATCTTACTGTGGTTGATGAAGAAAACGGCCCCAGTGCCAGCTCTGCCTGCACAACACAAGGCTTGGCCCCTTTCCCCGGTGTCGCAGCGTGGGCAGCCAGGCATCCAGCACTCACCTTTCCTTTGCAGAAATGTCTCCAGATTCTCGTTCAGGCTCTCCTCGTTGTCCAGCACAAATTTGAGGATCGACGCCAGCTCAACCTGCGTCGGAGGAGCCGCGAGGTCAGCAGCGACGCCGCTGCAGTGGTTCACAGGCAGAGCTCCCTGCCTGCCCCTGCCCACACTCGCAGACACGAGTGCCACAGCATCCACCCCCCCCCCCCCCC